CAGAACTCAGAAACACTATTTCTCTATGATCAGTTTCAATTAATGTCTGAAGAGGTGCTAACAAGACACTAATGAAGAAACTCTTCTACTAGAGCATGTTCTTATCCTACTGACATTTCTTAGTGTTAACACAGAAGATGACCGTGCTTACAGCCAACTGAAGCTCCAGCACACGTGTGACAGCTCAAAGGCAGGAACTGTTTTTGAGAAATGCTACATATTTATTCCAGGGTCTCAGAGCAGCTAGAAAGGAGTGTTCTACATCCACAGTAACAGCTCACTAGGGCCGGTGCTTAAGTCTTTCCCAGACAAGACCCAAAGAACAAGCAACATCTGTCATGAGGGATTCAGAATCTTGCTGCTGGACAAACTCATAATTAATAGGAGACCCCTCCAGAAGAGGACCAGGTCAGACCGAAACAATTACCACGTAGCAGCTGTTGGGAGTCTTCTGATTAATTCTGCCGACAAGACCAATGTCAAAGCCATCACTGTCAACGGCAACTAACCAGAAAATCTGTTTGTAATGCATCAAAAGCAATTTACTGCTCAGTGCTCTGCTGAGACAGCAATCAGCACACTTAAAAAAAAATCTTATAAAACTGAATTTTGTTTCAAGCTGCATAATTTTCAAAAAGCTGACTTGCAAGTCCAAGCACAAAAACCAGCTCTGTTCTAAGCTACATTTCTGCATTTGTTTTTTAAGAATATTTCTTGCAAGTTTGTGTCTTAATACTCTCCTCCCTTCCTCTTCTTATTCTATTTCACAGTGCAAAGAAGACCTCTTATGGTATTCATACTGCTTCTGTTGAAACAATTCCTATTGCTTAAGATTAGAAACCTCACTACAAAGACCTCAAATTTTACTCTGAGCTGCTATTGCAAAAGCTTACACATAGAACATGCATAAATACACAGAGCAAGGACTAAAATCTGTCCCTACATTTTCAGAATAAATTAGAGACTTCCCACAGCATATGAGAACAGTGCTCAAAATCTCTGTTTTATTAAAGCTGCTAAGTGACAATTGTGCTTAGTTTAACAAAAAAACTATAAAAGGATACCTCCATCATTCGATTTGAGCAGGGCTAACACTCAGCTCTCCAAATATTATGACTACTTAACTTATGTTTGGTGTTGCAACCATAATTAACACAAAGTTTTTCTTACATGGGCAAGCAGTCTAATTGAAGAAAACACATTTCCCCATAAGTAAATGCCATCATGAGGCTTTCATTTGATGTCTGCTGCCTGTAATCTAAAAGTACAGCATTATTTCTTTATCTGCACCAGACCCTGTAACTGGTTCACTGCACATTCACACTGAGAAGCAGCTCAATGAAGGAGGCAGCAGGGGCTTGAGAATAACTGATCAAGGACTGCCGAAGTAGCAAACAGCACCACTGCTGAGTCTGCTGCCACAACCTAATGATACTGTCAAATAAACAGCTTCCGAATATTTCTGCATTCTTGTCTCCTGCCTCAAAAAGAAAAAAGCTCTTCTCAAAAACATCCCTTGGAGTAACTTGAGGTTAAAAACTGAAAAAAACCAAACAACTGAATAAATGGATGCAGACTGTAACTGCAGCATTTTCTCAGCACCTGCATCATTTAACTGATCATAACCAAAATATGCAAAGACTCAGTTTCAGAAATCCAAATAATATAAAAAAAAAGTCAACAACAATTCCAAATACCAGAAGGAAATGAGCTGAGACCAAAGGCTTCCCTTACAGAGAATAGATGGTCATGCAAAGTAAGAGTGTGCTAATGGATTATTTTGGTAGTTATAACATCTGCTGCAAGCTTCCAATTCATCTCATTTCAGCATTTCTCAAGCTGTGCTTGTAACAGATACCAACAATATTTTGTTACAGAAAAAAGTTGTATTTCAAAGACTGCTTACACACTCCATCAAAAAGCCCTCTGTGGAACATAAAAGTTCACACTATAAATAATCTGTGGTGATACAAAGCAGTGAGATCCACCCACTTCATCAGGTATATCCATAAACAATGTTGAAGAATATAATCCCTCAATACCACTGGAAAAAAAAAAACCAACAAAACAACAAGGGAAAATGAGAACTGCAACTGCCCATTCTTTCTGCAAGGAAATGTTTCCTGTTTAAACAGTTATTTTGTACTTCCACATCAGCTTTCAATGAAGAATGTAACAAAGCAAAATGCAAGTATTCAATCTTCACACTTCTTTTATTTTTCAATGGGCCAAAGTTGCTGTGGAAAATAAAATGATTACCTAACAATTCAATAGAAGCAAGAGAAGCAGAAAAGCTAAAAGACACTCATTTCCATGTCTGTTCCTTTTCCTACTGCTTTAACCTATGCCATTTTTCCTGTGAAGTTCAGTATCTTTTCTATGAATCTCTTTAGCTGCCTTTGCCCTACAGGCTGCTGCAGAAGCCTCATCATGACTCACAATCACACTGTTCCTTGCTGTACAAGCAATAAATACTGATAGTGGTTTAAATTAGAGAAGACAAGGTGATCATGTTTTTTTCTGTGCAGCAAATAGATGGAGGTTTTGCCCTCTGTTGAGCACTTGAACACTGCGTCTGAAAGGTGTCAGTTCTGCATTAAAAAAGAGACCCTGACTTTCTGGATAGTGCACACAAAATAGGAGAGGCCACCACAGCTGGCCAGGATGCTGGAACCAGGACCTAAGCAGACAGCCTACAAGAAGTGATTTTGTTCAGGCTTTGGAAAAAGGTGCCTCAGAGAGACCAGAATGCTAAAGGAAACGGAGACAGACTCTTCCTGGATGCGTGGAGAAAAAATTCCAGTGGTCACAAGCTGCAACAAAGGAAATTCTAAATAGACACAAGGAGAAAAAATTTCCACCCTGAAGGTTGTTTAACACTTGAACCTAGAGGCCTACAGTGCCTGTGCAATCTCCAGACTGGGAGATGTTCAGCACAGTTCTGAGCAGCCTGGTCTAGTTGAACCAACTTTGAGCAGGGAGTTCAATTAGATGGCCTCCAGCAGTCTTCTCAAGGCAAGGGAGACATTAAAAAAATCTCAGAAAGTTGTCTAAAAACATTTCTCATTATTAGATCTCAAAGCGTTAGACCTGAAAAGCAGCATTTACAGATGTCAAAACAGAGAGATCAAGAGAAAGATGAATTAATTTTCACTAGGTCAACCAGGAGATGTTGTTTTTGTTGAAACAGGAATGAGTTTAAGGAGATTATATTCTGTGATCCCCTCCTCCAATAGCCCCATTGTTTTTCCACTTCAAGGAACTTCTACATTGACATTACCCACTGCATTACTGATGAAAAACTCCTTTTACCTTCAGTGATGTATTTGGGTCATAAATTCCACCCTACCAGCAAGGGAACAATCTGAATGACAGCTTGGTTAAACTTCTCTGTGCTGGTTTGTAACAAGAATTTAGTTGTTTAGGCGCCTGTGGCATCTTAGCTCTGCATATTTTGCTCACCAGTCTCTGTTTACCCTGGCTGACAATAAGACAGTCAAGCCACTGTCCAGTCCTTCCGTCTTTCCAACTGTTTGGGAGCAACATACAGTCATCTTTTATTTACTTACACAGGTCTACCCAGCAGTTAAGAAAGAGTGGTACAGTGTTACCAGGTCAGGTGAACAAGAAAGGATTAGACTTCCTCTACAAGAAGTAGTTAAGTCCCTACAAATTCACAGACACATTCATAATTTCATTTCTTCTTTTCCTCATTTTCATAGTTTATAGCTACAGTTGTATTCCTTCTGCCGCTTCTGATGATTCAGAATTTCTGAAACTATAAAGCTATACAATATACTACATTTCCCTATGAAGTAATGTTTTCTTAAGACAATTTCTATCTTCTCTAGTTACCTGCCAATCCTTGTTCAACTTTCTCCTTACCTCATCATAATTATTTAGTGATATTTATGACCTAATTTGTGCAGCTAGCCCTTCCAGTACCCTTATTCTTAACATGAGATCTAACTCATAGAATAACTTGGGTTGGAAGGGACCTTTAAGCCTATCCAGTTCCAACTCACTGCCATGAGCTGGTTGCCCCCACCAGCAGGCTGCCCAGAGCCCCCTTCCCACCTGGCCTTGAACAGCTCCAGGGATGGGACATCCATAACTTCTCTGGGCAGCCTGAGCCTCACCACTCTCTAATTAAAGAATTTCTTCCTAACACCTAACCTTTATATATGTACTTCATTCGTTATTTTTACTCCCCCATCACTGGGGAATTGAAATTGCTATTAAAAAAAAAAAAAAAGGAAAAAATCAAATGAGTAGATAGCCTTCTGCTACATGCTATGAAAACCTGATCACCAGCACAAAATGACATTACTCAAGCCTGAATCAAACCCTGAAAGTAACTTAACAAGTTATCAATAAAGAAAATGTGATGACACAATATTTTAGAACCTTGAAAATGAACAGCTGTCAAGTGACACCACTGACTGAAGGTCAAAACAACTGGGTCACACAGACTTACTATGGAGTGAATATAATCTCTAAAGCTCCTGAACTCTCTCTCAGACTTATTTCATTATTCCCCATAACAGTATCCAGTTTATCACTGTGATGGTTACCAAAACATTTTGTCCAATATAACAGCACTGAAGGCAAACAGAACCCAATTATTTTGTGCATTTTGTTTTGAAAGCTTCAGTAATCTAGAGGAGTAAACTTCAATTTGAATCCACAAATACTGCAATAAATGATCTAAATTATCAGATAACAAAACTATCTTGAAACCTCCTCTGAATTTTTTTAAGGACAAAAGAACAAACGCACAAAAACTAAACAACATAGAGATTTTTGTTTCTTATAATCTTTCTTAGCCACGATAACCTTACACAAGCCAGCAAAATGTTTGTCACCAAAAAAGAATCACGAACAGTAACTCTAAACACAGAAATGTTTTAAAGGACTATTTTCATGTTGGTTGCAGACCATCCAGAGAAGTAATGGTAAAAATATAACTTATTCTATTTAACCTGGGCTATCTGGATTACCTGTTTTTCTTCCTCTGGCATATCTTTTTCCAGTTCTATTAAGTACTCCTCATCCAGTTCTGCCTGCTTCCTTGTGTTATTCTCATCATTCTGTGAATTTCCTTCATCATCCAGTACAGGCTCTTTCACCTCAAAGGAGTCACGACAGTCATGGAAACACTCATCTGCTGTGATGGGATCTTTGGCTGAAGATGGTATATCGCCACTTTCCACGTTTGGAGGATTCTGGGCATCTTTGGGGCCAGATGCCCATGAGCTGGTGCTCTCTGCTGACTTCTCATCAGAAAGCTTTAAGTGATCAAGCAATTCTTCTGGCGGATGTCCATTTTTCACCTCCTCCATGTCAGACTCCTTGGTTTAATTTATAGAAACAAGAGAGACATAACCTTCCATTAGCTTAATACAAACATCTCGACAACAAATACTCAAAGTGCTTATGGATACACCTAATAATAAGCGATACCATCCTATGGAAGCCATAACTCCTCCAGAAACCATCACCTTCCAGGGTAAGGCAGATCTAACGCACGCTTTTTCAAGACACTGCAAAACTAACCGGGGCCATCGCCGATCCCACACCCGAAGCACGCTCCCGGGGCGCTCAGTGCCAGCCGTGGCACAGCAGCAGGCCCCAGGCACGCACCCTGCCGAGCCGCGGGCCTCGAGGCCCCCGCGCCCAGCTCCAAACCCGCGTTTACCACACCTCAGCCCAACCCCGCCTGCAGAGAGGCGGCTGTGCCGAATGCTCCCCCTCCAGCCCCCCTCGCGCCGCTCCGGGTCCCAATCCCACACCTTCCCTCCCGGCCGCCGCTGCTCACCTCTCACCCTTCACCTCGCGGACCGCTTCCTGTTTGCGCCAGCCAATAGGAGGGGCCGCGCGCGGGCTGCCGGGATTTGTAGTCTCGCGGGATGCAGCGGGAGCGGGCGGCGCTGCGCCGTGCGACTGTTGGGTGCGCGCGCGGCGTCTCCTCAGTCTGAGGCGGGTGCGGGCGGCTGCTGCGCGCTTACGGCTTCAAGTGCGCGCGCCCGCGTGTGTGGGAGATGAAAATTGCAGTGCAAAATGAAGCCGTGCCATTTGGAAGGGGCTGGAATGCCATTTTAAACTCCGCTGTCTGTGAGCACAGGGGTTTAGGAAAGGTACATCCTGAGAAAGAATGGTGGTGGTGAGAGGCAGCGCTGGGTGTCAGGGGTCAGCAGTGCTTCCAGGTGGTGTCAGCCTGCATGTTACCTCGTTTCCTAGAGAGAGTTGATCTGTCAGCAGAAGCACTACAGGAACCAGCCCTGCTTAGAATTCCACAGCTGTTGCTGATCAGGGCCAATGTATGACCTTGCTTCCATGTGAGACAGGGCTTTTGAGCTCCTGCACATCTGAGCTGTGGCAGCTAGGGCTAGGAATGCTGTTTTCCAGGAGCTGCAGTCCTTGGCCAGCCCTGCTGCGTGCCATCCAAAGCCTGTCTGTCACTTCTGGAACGTGTGTCATGAGTTTGCTGATCCCATGTGACAGGTATTTTTTCTTCGTTGTCACATTTTTAAACAGGGTTCCTCTGCTTATTTTCTGCCTGTGTCTGCTCTGAAGACACTTGGTGGCTCTGTGAGTGATAGAAGTAGAGACTATTCAGCGATTTTGTTACTCCCAAACGCAATGTAAGGGAAGAGCTACAGTCCCCCAGAGCCTCCGTTCCTAATGATTTTTCTCTCATGAATCTTTACTCTGGATCTAGCAAGAAGTGCAAGGTCCTAAGGTCCTAGTCCACAACAGATGGGCTGCAGTTTGTGGGTGCTGATGCATCCTGAAATTAGCCTTGAGCATGCTGCAGCTCCATGAAAGTCTCCAAATATCCTTCCTGTGGAATTGCCCCTCAATACCACTATGAAGCAGAAGCCCAAAGACTTTGTTAATATTCTGTGAATGAACCCACCAGAAGAACCCTCTGCTTTCCATCAGGCTACCAGTCCTCCAGACAGCAAATGAAGAGGCAGATTAATTCCTTATTAGGTATACCAATATAGTCAATGTATGTAACTTCTGTCCTAAATCAGCACTTAAAACCTTACTGTCTGTTTGTCTGTGTCACTTTCTCTTCTTTACACTTTAACATTCTTAAAAGAAGTGTTGTTTTCATTGGGTCCATAGTTTGCTTAATATTTAGAAAGTAAAGAAACAAGTTCTCTTACTGTATCTTCAAATGTACACATTTTAGTATGAAACACCCTGGAGATCATAGGGCAGTTGTCAGCTTTGATCACTAAATCTCACTTGTTCAAACACAGAACATATTACTGCTTTAATCAGACTTTTAGGATCTCTAATTCATTGCTTTAGGCAGAAGTGTATGAATAGCTGAAGCTTATGTATATACAAAAAATGAAATCTTGTTATCATTTATTTAATCTTCTTGAGGTTAGGGGATTTTTACAAAGCAGTGATGTTTGTTTAAGTGAACACCTGTTGAAAAAAACGAGAACATATAATCCCAAATAGTAGAAATGTTTGGTTAAGAGTTTGGCTATGGAAGCTTTAGCTTGTGTTGAGATTTACTCACTGTTTTGAATGGGCTTACCTCCTGAGGGCAGTAAGGATGTGTCAAAGTCCAAGGTCACTGCATAGCACAAGTAGAACATTTTAATGCTACAATGCTTTCCACGAGCCAGACGTAAATTGAAGAGGTAATGTCAGACAAAGAGTCTATATCTCAAAACTTTACCAAAACCTTTTTCTCCTTCCCAATTTTTTTCCCTGTTTCTTCCCAAACCCACAGCTTGCTGAAGGTGATGTAAGCTGGTGCAATCAGCTGATTCAAGCATGATGGAGTGTGTGAAAAGAAAAGCTGCAGGAAGAATGTTGGGTTGACTCTAACTTTGTCAGTAGTACTCAAAGAAAATAGGAAGGAGCAATATGAAAGACTTAAGTTCTTTTGTTTCTGACACTAAAGTTTTCTACTAGACTGTTGTAGGATCTAGAACATCTTTTACTACTTTCAAGAGAATCTTTTACAACTGTGAATGCGGTTCTACAAGTAGGGAAGTCAAGAGGGCAACTGGGAAGCGCAGAGCATTATATTCAGATAGTTGAAGCCATGTTTTTAAAATTCATATTTGTTACTCTCTAGTTTGCAGCAATGTGTAATTGCCGTTTGGGAAAATAGCTCTGCTCTTTCAATAAATCTATGGAAATTCATAGCCCAATATCCTTGAGTTAATCCAAACCTCTAATAAGACCAAAGACAGCGAGACTTTGTGTTATTTTCAAGGGTAAAATTCAGTAAATCCACCAGTAGACATAACATAGTCTTAAATGCTACAGTCCAGCTGATTTCCTGCTGAACAAACTCCTGAGAGCAATCTCAACTAAATCTCACACTGGGACGTTGTAGTTCCAGTTTTTTGGCCAGATTTTCAAGACAGTGCTGCACATAATTAGGCATCTAATTACAGTGATCTTAGGGACAATGGAGTGATGCTTTAGTACTGAATTTCATTTGTTTGTTCATTTGTGTGATCTATATGAAAAAGCAAGAAACGTGACCATAAGGAGCAGCATTCTGAAAAATTATCCTTAAAATCTCATCCTCTTGATAATAAATAAAAGCAACTTTTTGTTTGGTAAATATTGCACTCATTCCCTCCTGCAGACTTCTGATATCCATGCATTATTATCCCTTTGTGGATAAGAAATGGCTAATTTTTCATTTCAGAAAATTACATTGGTTTTCTAAATATTTCCGCAAACTGTGACTTGTTCAAGTTCTGAGCTCCCATATCTGATGAACAATTCATGTTTATGTAGTTTAAGAATATGTTAATTTTCCCGTTCAAGTTTTAGATGATCCTAAAATTGCCTTTTCTCTTATAGCATTCTAGTTTCACATGGTGTTAGAAGTGCTAATAGGGTTCAAATTAAAGCTTTCAGGATGCTTTAAATGTCATCAGTATTATAGAATCACAGAAGGGCCTGAGTCAGAAGGGACCTTCATGGTCATCTAGTTCTAACCCCCTGCTATGGGCTGGTTATCCAACAGCAGATCAGGCTGTCCTGGGCAGCAGTGCCAGTGCCTCACCGCCCTCTGAGTAAAGAATTTCCTCTAACATCTAACTGAAATCTCCCCTCTTTTAGTTTAAAACCGTTCTTCTTTGTCCTGTCACTATTGGACAGCGATGGGACCAAAACCCTGTGTTCAAACAGCCAGGCACTTTGAAGATGTGCAAAGTGAAGTCTTCAGACACTCTCAGATACTAATATTTACTGCAGAAGGTTCATAAGGTAGAGCCAGTATGAGCCCACAGGCTGAGCGTTGTGTGTTTTGTTTTTCACAGTATACCTAAGCTTTACAGGAAGAGCACTGCAAGACTAGAGCAAGTGGGGCCTGGAATTCTGTCTGTTAAAAGGATCTTTCCACTGCAGCCTGCTTCAGGCCAGCTCTTTGGCCCTTCTGACTGCAGCTCCTGTCAGCTAAGCATTCCTGTAGGATCCCTGGTCTTGTCTCAATCATGAAAGCAGGAAGCTTTGCTGATGGGTGAAAATGGCTAATTTACAGCCAATTTATGAAGTATATCTGCTGGAGGTAATTCGTGCTGTGTCCTAAAAGCATGCATTAATTGAGAAAAGATCAGACTTGTGCTTCTTAAGGCAGGGATAATGTAAATGAACACATTTACAAGGATATGTAAGGATTTCAAACCACGTGGCTGCAGTGCTGCTGTGATACCAGAGGAACTGCTGTGCCCACAGCTGGGATGCAGCAGGCTGTATGGTGTGCACCAAAGCTGAGTGCAGCGTGTGCTGCTGAAATTCAGCATTTGGGAAAATATTCTCTCTTTCTTTTTTGAATATTATTGCAGTACACACAAGTTTTGCACTGGAGTTGAATCATTTAAAAATGAAGGCTGAATGAAGGAGATTCTACTAAAAGAATTCATGTTATCTCCAGAAGTAGCCCAATTTTTCTTTAATAGTTTTTAGTCCTAAAACAGAAAACTGCATTCTCTGTTTTAAAAAACAAAGCAAAACACACATAGAATAAAACTTCAAGGCATTAATTTATATGGAAACCAAATACCAACTTAAATTATAAGGAGGGGATTTTCAAAGACACTTACAGAATTTCGTTAGCTGACTTCTTTACCTGTTAGCTTACCAATCGTAACTCCCGATTCACTGTTAACTTTGGATTGAAGTTCACTGAATTTCTAATGCGTAAAATCCAGGAGGCTTTATTTGTATTACTGTATTTATGAATCTCAACTGGAACAGAAATCCAGCAGGTGGCAGTGTTGGATTTCCAATGTCCAGGTCCCTGTTCCTGTCAGTGTAAACCTCGTGTTATTCTCATGGAAATCAAGGCTGAAGATCCCACTTAGTAAAATAGCGCAGGGCTGAGCACTAAGCTAACTAAAAGAATAGGGATGAGCTGTTCCGTAATTACCTCAGGCCCCAGAGCAAATGCAACATTTATTTTTGGGGACAGCCTTTTGATCTGCACAGTGAAGAAACTAAACTTTAACGAATCAAACACAGAAAAAATAATTACAATTTTCCAGGGTTCATACAGAGTTCGAGTTCTCTGCTGGAATTAAACATTTGCCCACAGGTCTCAGAGGAATCAATTTATTGTGCTTCCCAAAGAGTATATTAAAGAAAATTGTGAAATGGACAATTAAAGTCTTTTTAATCAACTGTAACCTAAAGTTCTACCATATCTACTTCTTAGTGTGACTTATTCAAGTAACTGTGAAGGACTCTTACTCATTTTGACTCTCTGTTCTCTTTTTAGTCCTGGTCTCGGCTGAAGTCTTATAAAGAATATGGGAATTCTGTAATTAGTTGGTAGGGATTATGTTCTTCACTAATCAAGCTAATGTATTTTGACATAAGACATTTCCAGTAACAACACCAGATTTCCTGTTCCTGT